GAAGCCAACAGGATCAACGAGGGTGAAGTCACCATTGCCCAACCACCAGCCGGCAACCCAGCCACTCCAACCGGCAACCCAGTCCCACCTACTGGCAACCAACCATCACCCTCCAGCCAGGGTACACCAGCCACATTCAACGACCCCAGCAGCGTCGCACACATCGTGGCGCAAGCGGCCAAGGCGACAGCTGAGGCCATCGCTCAACAACAGGGCTTTGCCCGCTCAGGCACGATGCGTGTCAATCCAGGCTCAGAAATCGAACCTTGGCTTGGTAGTGTAAAGAAGGAGCAGGACTTGTACAATATGTTTGATATTTTTCGTGGTAAGATGATTTCATATTTTCAGGAGGAGGGTGTGCATGATGCGTTGGATTTGGAGGTCGAGGTCAAGGTCGGGAAGAGGGGTGTGAATGTAGGAGACCTTCGGAGACTTTTTGGAAATGAAGTGGTAGACAAGTCTTTCAAACTGTGGAATATCCTCATAAGCAAGGTTATGTATCCCCCGATTCAGAGCTTGATTCTGGCGTGTGAGAGTCCCCAAAAGGGGGTGGAAAATAGTGACCGAGTTCTATCAGGAGAAAAAGCAGTCAGAAAAGTCGAGGTTGGAGCAGGACTGGAAGGAGTTGGAGATGAAAGAGTCCGAGAGTCCACAGGATTACATTGCCCGCTCAGAGGCCCTTCGCCTGCGTCTCGCATCTGTAGGCACGATTAAGGATGAAACAGATGCCAACAAAGACATTGCTCGTGGCCTTCCCTCTTCATTGTATGCCGTGAAAAAAGGAATACTGCTTGCCCATGATGTCCTGACGTTGCGTACCCTTGAGACTGTGGTGAGGGACGCCCACGTGGAGATGGAGCGGGAGAGGAGCAAGGGGGAGAGGCGCGAGGTGGAGCTCACTCTCGCCGCGTCCGGCATGGGTCGGCACGGCGGGGGCAGTGGGGGGGCATCCTGGGGTCAAGACGGCGGTCAGGCAGCAGCTGGCGGCCAAAATCGTGACGGAGAGAAAAAAAATAGTGACGTGTTCAACGACGACCCCGGCGGATTTTGCCGCTACCACCAGTCCGAGCTTCACACCAACGAGCAGTGTCGTCTCCAGCAGCAACTGCGGCGTGCGCGTTCGAGAGAGGGCGCCGAGGAACGTCGCTCGGGCGGGGGCAGCCGCGGTGGCGGCGGTAGCCAGCGAGGGGGTAGACCGCCGCCGGGACCCGGCCGCGGTGGCGGGCGATGGGTGAGGATAGAGCAGCAGCACCACACCGGTCATGGTGGCGGTGGCTGGAGCCAAGCCTCACCCCCCCCGCGACCTCTTCGTGGACGTGGGCCTGGTGGTCGTCTGGGGCGTCACCCGGGGGGTCGTGGGCCCGCGGGACGCCACAGCAGCGACGGGCGTGCCGAGAGAGATCGGGCAGGGAGAGGCCCGGGGCACGCGCGTTCTGGCCACGGAAGAGAGCAGGCGTACGTTGTGTACTACGCCCACGATGATGGTGGCTACTACAAAGATTACGGCAACTACGACGAAGGCTACTCCTACGACGACGGCTACCACGACGCCGGGTACGCCCACTACGCCGGCGGCGGGGACAGCTACAGCAACTCCTCCTCCGGGTACGAAGACAGCCGTTCATCTGACGGCGGGATCCACTACGTCTACTACCCTCCCGCCGGTCAAGATTCATCATCCGAGCAGCCACGTCAGCCCCCCCCCGCGGGCAGCAGCAGCACCGCTTCCTCCTCGTCCTCTGCCCCTTCTCCTGGCGCGCCTCCATCTTCGGGCTACCTCCACCTCTGCACGGCACAATCGGTGCCCCTAGGCAAGTCTCACCCCGAAGATTTTTTTGATAGGATAGGAGTGACGATTGGAGTAGAGTCTGCTGCATCTGCTTCGTCTCTGCTGAGTGTTGAATCTAGTGACGGACCGCCTGGTAGCGAAAGATGGGTAGCTAATTCAGGTGCAAGCAACAGTTTTACCAACAGTAGCCTACACATGTACGATCTGCAGGAGATCCCCGCAAATAGGAAGTATGTTGTCGTAGGTGATGGTCGACTGCTAGAAGTGCAAGCTATCGGTAGCATCAACCTTAGTTTCTTTCAGGAGGATGAGAACGGTGACAAAACGACGATGTGTGTTAAGCTGACTGACGTGTCTGTAGTAGAGAACCTGAGCTTCAATTTGTTTTCAACGCATGCAGTTTCTCGAAAGCAACAAATCCTGCACGACGAGCGTGGTGCAACCCTCCAAAATGGACTGCTATTTGCTAGGGAGGAAAAAGCGTCTGCAGCATATGCCATGCGCTTACCATACGACCCATCTGCAACTATAGTAGACTCTTCTGCTTTGCCTGCATTCGTGACTGCCCCCGATTCCGCCCCCGCCGTTGGCTCCACGCGTTCCCCTCCCCAAAAAGGGGGCTCCGCGGAATCATTGGTGTCCGTGTTGCGTTTCCCTCCCGCTGACTCTGCTAGCGTAGTACCTTCGAGTGAGAGCGTCACGCCCGCTGGTCCCACAAGCGTAGTACCTTCGACTGATAGCGTCACGCCCACTGGTCCCACCAGTGTAGTACCTGCGAGTGAGAGCGTCCCGCCCGCCGGCTCTGCCGGCGTAGTACCTTCTTCGGCGTCCGAGTTTGTTTGTGTGGGTACTTTTCCGGGTATGGATCTTGGAGACACGAGTGTGCTCACCGACGAGCAGCTCATGGATGGCTATGATGACACCCCGTATCAAGAGTTTTTCCCCGCGTTTATCCCTGAGACTGATGCTGCGAATGTAGCTGCTGTTTTGGATAGCATTGATGGGGGTGCTGATTTTGACTTGGGTGCGGCCGCGCTTGGCCCTGGTGCGTCCCCGTTTGCTCTTGGTTCGACTGAAAAGTCCGTTGACATCGACCGCTTCCACCGCTCCCTTGCCCACGCTTGCGAGCCCCTTTTGAGAGAAACCGCCCAGCAGAGAGGCATCGTGCTCACCGGCAAGCTGGAACCGTGCACGGACTGCATGAAGGCGAAGGGCAGGCGAGGGTCGGTGCCGCGGGGGCCGGGAGCGCGGGCGTCCAAGCCACTCGGGCGTGTTCACCTGGACTTGTGTGGACCGCTGGTGCCTTCCCTGGGCGGCAACCTCTACCTATTCGTCGCCGTCGACAGCGCCTCGCGGTGGAACAAGGTCTACGGTCTCCGGCGGAAGTCCGACGCGCTGGCGGCAACGAAAAGGCTGCTGGCGGACGTGGGGCGGTACGACCTCGGGCGCATCGAGTGTTTCCGCGTCGACAACGGCACCGAGTGGACCCGTGGCGACTTCCGGCAATTCTGCGACGACAACGGCATCGGCGTCGAGTTCACTCCGCCTGGCACTCCGAAGTACAACGGCGTCGTCGAGAGCGCCATCTGGCGGATTATGAAGGCCGGCATGGCCGCCCGCCGCAGCGCTGGCCGCGTGTTCAACGTCGACTTCGCCTCCATCCCCGGCCTCGACGAGCGCGGTGACCGTCTTTGGATGGAATCGGCGAAGTGGGCCGCCGACGCTCTTAACCAGTCGGCGACCAAGGCCAACCCCGGGCGGCGCTCACCGCACGAGATGTTCACCGGCGAGCAAGGGCCGTTCCGCGTGCTGCCGTTCTTCCAGCCCGGCTTCATGCGCGAGGATCGCCGCACCAAGCTCGACGACCAGGCCACCCTCTGCTTCTACCTGAACGGCGGCGACAACCACCCGAGCGGCACCGTCAAGGTCCTCAAGGCGTCCACCGGTCGCGTCGTCTACACCAACAACGTGTCGTGGGTGACGTCGGCGCCAGCCGGCGAGGGGGGTTCCGCTGGTATCACCGCTGCACCGACACCCCCCCCGTTCATGCCGCCGGTCGTCTCGATCAACTTTGGCCCAGCACCGACGCCTTCGACTGCCGCAACGCCGCCGCCAGCGACCACGCCGCCGTCCGCTCCCACGCCTTCACAGCCGCCCTCTGCCACTTCGCCGCCACCGTCGGCGACCCCCGCCCCTGGCCAGCCGTCTTCTGCCTCTTCGCCGTCACCGTTGGCGACCCTCGATCCAGACCAGCCGCCGCCGCCGGACCCCGCGATGCTCCCGGAGCTTCCTCCTCCCACGGTATTCCACACCATGTGGAGATTCTGTAGGCATGTAAATACAACCCTTACAACAGCAGTGCGCGACAAGCATCGGCGGTGGTTGAAGTCATGGCCCAGACAGAGCTTGAGAAAACTACTATCACAAGGATTCCGGAGAATCGTGACGGGTGCCTCGTTCGTATTTGTCTTCACTTCTTTTTCGCAAACAAAGTGGTACACACGCGCGACCTCGGCGATTTTCAGAGGTGCCTTAGTGCGTGTAGGCAGCGGCATTGGACCGCCTGCGCCTCCGACTGTAGAGACATTGCCGTATCCCTCATCGCACCAAGCCAGTCAGCACAGATCAAAAGACAAGCAAATACTCCGGAGTATAAAACATTCACACGTTCCAGTGGTTCCACTCGCTGGCCGCCAAATACTCCCAACGTAGCAGCTACCGCACCAGCACACGATTGATGCATCCTCTCCATTCCACTGTTTTCCATTCATCACAATAAAGATCCAGGGGGGCACATGCCGTTTAATTTTCAACATCGTAAAAAATACATGGCACCGTACGCCAGATGAACCAGGTTAATACGAGTGGGAGAGAACAAAGTCCAAAGAGCTGTCATGATATTTTTGCGGTTCTCGCAACGAATCAGCAAGAGCAGTCGTTTGCAGTAGGATGAACAAGTGGTTGGTGTCACGGGTGATGAGGGAGAAGAAGACGAAGTGTTCATCGGCACGCCCCTGGACTTGGCTACATCTTATTTTCGCAGATTCAGTCCAATGAGAGTCCACCGCGAGATGGTGCGCGGGGGCTGAAGGGTGTCATCTGCCTGCTGCGACAGGAGGAGGCAGTTCACTCGGTGTCCTGGACGTGGCCAATCGACACTTGTCGTTCTGTGGAGCGTGCGTCCCGGAAGAAATCAACATCGATCGCTCGCATGCTCCCGCTTCTGAAGCTGAGGGCGGCGAAGCCTCGTGTGCTCTTGGCGGCCATGTCTAGGTGCGTGGCGTTGTTGAACCATTCGGGGGTGTGTTGCGGCCAGTAAAAAAATTGAAAGAAGTTGGCTGATGCTTTTACCCGCCCCGCTTGTTTTCGACAGGTACAACAACAAGCAGGACGGACCTTTCCTCGGGTACTTGCCGGAAAAAAACGCGGGAGTCTAGTACCAGGGTGGAACCCAGAGAAGAGTTTCGCACGGCGAAGTGCTCCGCTTTTTCTAGGGTGCTTCGCTGTTTACCGGGCATGCTCTGTGCGACATCGATACAGGGGTTTGTGGGGTGTTTCAATTCTTAGGGAAAAGGAAGGGGTTCGATCCCATGGTTTTGTTGAAGGTACTCGAGCGGCCTGCGGGAAAAAGAGCACCGGTCTGGAACCGTAGGGAGTTGGAAAACGTTTGTATGTGTAGCACATCAACCAGTACCGCCCTCAAACGCTTTGGCACTGATCGAACCTTCAACCGGACGCATCGGGACCTTATCAGTGCTCCAAACGTTGCCGGTTCTATCAAACGTACTCTCGAGCTCGAGAGAGCGCGAGCTTCTAGTGCGAAGAAAAAGCGCAAGCAAAGGCACCGGCAGCCGCCACCGGAACAACAGCAGAAGCCTCGAGCACAACAACAGGAGCCCTATCAACGCGTGGAGGAGATCGAGACCAAGCCATCTATCACAGACAGCTCTCCGTTCCGCGAACATGAGTCACACGTAGATCCAGGGCACGGCGTTGCTACCCCTCAGTGTCAAGCGTCAGAGCGTGGGGATGAAATTTCCATTGAGCATTGTTATGCTGGGTTCCCAGGCAGGGCAGGTGGGAAACAGGATGCAGAGTCTGTACACCGCTCAGTGTGGCGCGGTTGCGGGCGATAACATCCCGAAGAGGACCACGAGGTACAACGGTAAAAAAAACTCAGCGAAAGCGTGGTATCATGGAGTAGGCGATCCGTGAGGTAGCTCAGACTTGATCTGCTTTTTGTTTTGTTTTTTTTGTCGCACTCTGGCGTAAGTGGTATATGGTGCCAAGCGGGCAAGTATGAAAACATTTGCATTTTTTTACGTGGCTTGGTTGAGAAGGTGGTGCACATGGCTTCCTTTGGAGCCATCCGTCGGCGTACGAGTCGTCTCGACCATCGAGAACACAGTCATAGTCAGCACGGAGTATGGAATCTTGCGTCATTTGCGATACCCATATAAATGGGGGGGGGGGAATCGGCGAGGCGTGCTTCGATCTAATCGCACTTCGCTCTCTCGCACTCGCGGATTGAAACAAAGTAAAGGCGGTTTGAAGAACGAACGGAGGATTGGTGCTCCTGAGGCACGCGACGTATCGTCGGACACATCATGGTTGTTTGAACTTTGCTCTCTCCCTCTCCCCGATTGAAGAAATTCTGGCTTGTGGAACGAGAGCGCGATCGGTGTTCCTCGAGTGCGCGACAAACCGTTTGAAACATCATGGCTATTTGAACTTTGGTTCCTGCCTGTTTGTGAAAAGAGGGAATCGTCCTCGACAGACGTTGGTTGGGGAGTTTCTACCTTTATGAAGGTGGTCTCCACATTACCCCCCCCCTTTTTTTGAGACTTTTTCTTGTTTTCCAGGCAAGAGAAGTCTTCTTGGGGTAACCGGAACCCGACCGGCTGGCAGCGTATGCGAAGGTGTACCGATTCTGGTAGAAGTCAATCGACGGATACCCTGCGAATCGGGTCCTCCATAATAACACTCTCCACCCACAGAATTTACCCTCAACTGGGAACCTCTTGTGGCCAGGACGGGTAATTCGATGGAAGTGTCACAAGGTTCTTTATAGGATCGATTCCAAGAGGTGTTCTCAGGACTGACACACATGGTGTCCATGGGAAAATGTCCAAGTCAGGAGAAAAAACGTGCAAAGACTCGTGTGTGCGTGATTGATGTCAAGGGCGTGTCTTTGTGTGTTGGCTCTGCCTCTCCCCTCCGCCCTCTCTGCGGGCGCGAGCTCGCCGCCAGCACAACGCCACACATTGAATTGGCACACGCATTTGCATGTCATCAACCATGCTGGATCAGTCTCGCTTTCATAGGGTGACCCGTGCATCTCGTTTATAGACTGCTGCAAGCAGAAGTCCACCGGGTATCATCGTAAGAAGAGTATGTGTGTGCATGTTTCCAAACGGAACAATTTTGTGCTGGGGTATTGCCCGGCCATTAATTGTTGTTGTTGTTGTTGTCTTCACATTAAAAACCGTTCCGATCTCTCTCTACCCAGTACCTTCGTATGTCCGTACTGATCCAACACTCGACGCGGTCGATTCCCGTGGTCACAAGTTAACTTACCCTAAAAAGGTACACTCAAATAAACTGGCCCCGAGGGGTCCGCAAGTCAATAGAAATCAACGACAGATATTCTCGGATCCTCCGCTCCCTCTTCACGCTATGCGGGGTATCAACTGAGATTAGCAGTCACTATCTATCATGGGCCGGAGAGAAAGAGGCACACTCCCTTGGTTCAATCTTGGTACTTCACAACGCAAGCAGAGACAAGTCCATCTGGCACAGAAAAAGAGAGAAAAAAAGAGAGAAAAAAAAAGGAGAAAAAATATAAATGGAAACCGTAAGGAGAAGAGAAAATAAATGGAAATAAAATGAAAAAGGGCGAGGTCAAAGAGGGACCAGGCCGAAAATAACAGGAAGTATGAGGCAGAACAAGGCACACGGTGGAGAGACCACTAACGAACAAGCAAACACGCAAACATGGCCACCAACCAGCGATACATTGTAATGGTACGAAATCACTACTACTGGGGGGTTGGTGCAATGGTGCAGCGTTGGGGAGGGGGGAATTGGCGAGAAGAAATTCAATCCGGCACATGTCGTGTCACTCGGTCCGTCTCTTCTCGTTTGCTTTCTTCCCTCGCCGTCTCGTCCGTCTCCTGCCCCCCTCCCGCCCCATTGGTTGTTGGCTTGTGGTTTCGTTTGAGCGCTCGTTGTCGGCTGGCCTCTTCTTCCTTCTCGTGCCAGGAGGTCATGAACCTCTCAGCTCCCTGCAGCACCGCCGCATGCCAGGGTACTCCCCCCTCCACCTTCGCGGCTTCCGTCCACCTTGACTTCGGTGCCGTGTCTTTCGGTACGGGAATTCCGAGACAACTTGGGTCGGTTTTCGTAGATCCGTGGTCGGCCCCGAAGGCCTTCAGGTCATCGAGCACACACTTCGGCCAGTTCTGTTCCTGTCCCCCCCTACGTGGCTTCTCCCCCCCAGCCAGCTCGCCGAGCATCAGTCGTTTCGGGAGTCGCCCGTCCGGCTGCCTTGCCAGTGCTCCCGCGAACAGTAGGCGTCGTTGTCGGATCGTGGCTTCAACGCTCTGGCATTCGACCCTCTTCAGCGTCTGGGCGTACGAGAGCTGCCGGTAGGTGTCTTTCTTGCGCTTGTACCCGATAACTCGAAGGAGCAGTCGGTGGTGTGTCGACCGCAGCGTCTGATAGTGGCCGCTGAGTGGTGACCATGTCATGCAGCCGTACAGCAGTGCCTCCATCGCCTCCGCCTGGAGGAGGCGGATCTTGAGTCGGAATGGCGCTTTCGGTCTGTCGAAGAGCTCCTGGCCATATCGCCTGAGGCACGCCCACGCTCCTCTGCTCCTGTAGCTGATCTCCCGGGTGAGGTCGCCATGTTCGTTGACGAGGCCACCGAGGTACCGGAACTCGGTCGTCTGGGCGTATTTCTGTCCCGCGGCTTCGATAGCCAGTGGTGGAGGAGGAGGCGGGGGGGACTGTGATGTTGCAGTCGGCTTGCCCTTCGCGCGCATCAGGAGCGTCTCCGTTTTCTTCTCCGACACCGTTAGCCCGAACTCTCCGAACACCTCAACGATGATGGTCATCATTCTCGCCAGTCCTTCTGCAGACCTCGATACGACGCCGGCATCATCGGCATACAGCATCCCCCATACTGCCCTCCGTACTCGGTCAAGGGGTGTCTCCTCCCCCCCCCCCGCTTCCGTCTTCCCCTCCTCCAAGCACACCAGATTCCGCAGAACAACATCATCCTCGCTGAATCGGATAACGACGACCTCGAGGACCTCGGCGAAGAAGATGTTGAACAGCAGTGGGGATAGCACACATCCTTGTCGCACACCCTGTGTGACGAAGAACCAGTCCGATAGTTCTCCGTCGTCCATGCGCACCCGGGCCCGCATTCCATCGTGGAATTGGCGGATGACTTTGATTAGCTTCGCGGGAATCCCGGCCCTGGCCAGCACCTTCCATAGCATCTCTCGGTCCACCGAATCATACGCCTTCTTCAAGTCGACGAAGCACATGTAGAGCGGTATTTTCTTTCTCCGCCCCAGCTCCTGGAGGCGACGCACGACAAACAGCATGTCGACGGTGGATCGCCCGGGTCGGAATCCGCACTGTTCCTCCGGGAGGATGTTGTTGGCTTCGCAGAAGGCGCTTAGACGGTTGGTGATGATCTTGATGGGAACCTTGCCTACGTGAGATGGTAGCGAAATCCCCCTGTAGTTGTTACAGTTGGACCGGTCACCCTTCTTGTACAGCACCTTGATGGTTGCGTCCTTCCACTCTTGGGGGATATCTCCTCCGTTCCACACCTTGACGAGGATGGTATGGAGGTGTCTCAGGACAATGGGTTCGTCGTCATCGATCTTGAGCAATTCGGCAGGGAGGGAGTCATGGCCGGGTGCCTTCCAGTTCTTGAGGCCTTTCGCTACCCGTGCCACCTCCTCGAGATCTGGCACCTCTCCCAACCGTTGACTGTCACGTGTCGCTGGCCGCTGCGTCACTCGTTCGATGATGTCTGGGTTCAGGGTGGGGGATTTGGTGTTGAGTAGGGTGCTGAAGAATCTCGCTCACCGTTGTTGGAGGATGTCGTCCCTGTTCCGGAGCAACACGCCGTTCTCATCCGCGACGAACTGCTGTCCCCCCGCTTGTCTCCCGCTGAGGCCCACTGATCTCTTGAGGTGTTGGTACAGTCCTCTCATGTCGCGATCTTTGTAGATTGCTTCGAGTTCAGTCACATATCCGTCCAGGTGGGCATAAATGCCCGTTTCGACTGCTGTAGCCACTGCCTTACACGCTGCTTTGAGAGTTCTCCACGTTGCTGAGTTCCAGTTGCCCCTCATCGCCCGGCGCGCTTCCCGCCGTGTGGTAAGGGCCTCCTCCAGCGCTGCTCTCGTCTCTGGGGTCTCACACCACCCCTGCGTGCGACGTCTCCGCGGTTCCTCCCCTAGGGTCGTCCGTGCTGCTTCGAGGAGAGCATTGGTAAAGTCGGTCACCAATTCCGCGGCGGTGGTTGTTCGTTCGTCCAGTCGTGTGTCGAGGTTGAGGAGGAACCGATCAGTCACCGCACCTCGTGCTGTTTCGAACTGCAATTCCCGTCGGTTGAATTGCTGCTGTTTCGGTTTAGTCCGGACTGCACGGTTGTGGGCAAGCCTGCCACCGAGGTTGACGGTGGCTACTACCATGTTGTGGTCTGAGTCTGCTTTGACTGGGCGAACCGGCTGGGGGGTGACAACCACGTTAGAAACTCGGCCGTGATGTGCCTGCCTTGTCAGGATGTAGTCAAGTCGCTTGCAATCGTTTCCCGACACACCGTTGTATGTGTGCCATATTCCGCCCTTGCGTGTCTCGAAGAACGTGTTCGTGAGAGCTAGCCTGTTTTCCGTTGCGAAATTCAACAGTAGCATGCCATTGTCGTTGAGCTCATCACGCCCGTACATTCCTATTATTACCCTTCCGTCCCCTCCGTCCAACCTATCTCCCGTCCGCGCGTTGGCATCCAATAGAACATACACACATTCTTTGGAAGGGATCCTCCGCACGAGACTGTCAAGTTTTCCCCAGAACGCGCGCTTGCTGTCGGCGGTTGAAGGTTCGGTTGGAGCATACGCGGCTACGAAGTTGACCGCTCCACGGTGGCCTGCCAACAGAAACCTCATGGCCATAAGGCGTTCGTCGATAAACTCCGTAGTGAACGTGGATGTCTTGCACAGTGACTCTTTGACGGCTATCCCCACACCATGGACTCCACCAGTCTCCGTGCCACAGCAGAACACCCGGAAATCCGCTGCTGCAAATTCCGTTCGACCTGCCCTCCGTGTCTCCTGCATTCCTACCACCGATACGTTTTGTCTCGCTGCCTCGTGTAGAATGCTGTAGGCTCGCCCGTATCCATTGGCCCCGTTTACAGCCAAAGTCCGCACATTCCAGGTTGCTACCCTAAGAAGTTGACCCTGCTGTCTCTTTCGCGCGGCGCGCGCTGTTCTCTTAGCTAGCCTACGCGCCGCCCGACCCCTCCTTCTCCTCCATCTCCCCCATCTCCCCTTCTTTAGACCGGAAGAAGAGTTGATGGTTGGTCTGCCCCGTTGCCATGGGTTGTTATTGGGCGGGAAGATTCGCCGTTTGGTATCCCATGGTTGGAGGGGAAAAGGAGTTGGTTGGGAAGATTCCTGATGTGGAAATGATAAAGATGTCGGTTGTCAGACCTTGGACCCCTTGACAGACAACAATCCACCAAACGCCTTGACAGACAGCCTTGACAAGCAACAAACAGGGGACATATAAGAATATCCCCGGTTTTGGGAAAAGCCATACAAAATCACTGAAAACCGAGATTTTTCCATATGTTTTTGGGTTACTGTACGGCTGTACGGCTGTACGTTGTGCATACACACGTGCGTGCCTTCTTTTGTGCCCTCCCTGCTCCCTGCGCACCACGCAAGTCACGTACGTGTATGTGTATGTATGTATGTATGTATGTGTATGTGTATAGTGTATAGGGTATCGGGTATTGGTACATACAGGAGCATGGGTGAACGGTGAACTGCGAACTACGAACTACTGCTGCGAACTTGCGAACTGCGAAACTGAACTAAATACTGCTGTGAAGCTGTGAAGTATGAAGTATATTGGATATTGGATACTGGATACTCGGGAGAAACTAGATGCATGGATGCATGATGTTTTACATTTAGATGGATACAGTAGTATATCCATCTTTCGCCGTCGATAGCTTCTTCTCCTACTTGAAAAACAGAATGCAACGGGCCGCAAAAGCTGCAGTCAGCCACAAGCCACAAGCCACAAGTGATAAGCGATACGTATTTCAAGCACGAAACATATTCACGACAAAGCTACAAAACCAACTGAGGTGACAACACCAAGTATTTTCTGTGTTTGTGTGCGTGTGTGCAAGCTTGCTCGCAGCGCTGCGCGCCCGGTGCGCTTTTCAAAAATGAGGGGTTTCCACATGAGTTCTGGAGGCGTTTGTATACCGGGGATGGGGGATGTTTTGGCTTGACGACGCCAAATGCCTTGACAGACAGCCTTGACAGCTTGACAAACTTGACAGTTGACCGTCAACCGACATCTTTGGAAATGATTGATGAAAGGGTATCATTTCCGTCAGGTGAGGGTACATTATTTCCGAAAACAGGGTCCCTCGGGAGTAAAAATTAGCCAACAGACCGCAGGGAACGTGGAACACGAACTCTTCGGTGGCAATTCAGGACGTGGTGTGATGTGTGTGTGTGTGTGATCACTCTCGGGTATGCAGCTGCCACAGGTGCTGCATGCTACCGGTGCAAGCCGTGTAGGCATTTTGCCACAAAAATAATCAGATGTCTCGCATGCAAAAAAACGGCGGTGGATGCTCGTGTCGCCGTTGTATGGGGGAACATAATAAGTGTCATAAAAACGGCAAGATGCCGTGGACCATTTTTTTTTTTTCTTCACTTCAAATCAGCGCTCACAGCACTAGTGCCGTTTATTCCAACCCGTGGTCACACAGAAGAGCCTCTCTCTACCCTCCCCTCCTGCGGTACTTTGCCTTCAATTTTTAATGCGAGAAGAGTTCAGCACTCTCTTCCCTCTGTGTACACACGAACTAGCGCTATCCACTTGGCCAGGAGCGGAAGCGAGAGAAAAACTCACTTTGCAAGAAAAGCTCGCCTACGCCGGGAGTCGAACCCCTGACCTGGCCTCTAGAAGGTTACGGGGCTACCAACTAGACCACCGGGGCGACCGGCCTTTGGCACACCTACAAAAAGCACGCCTTTCAGAGCACACTGTCGAGGGTGCGGATTGCATGACGAGCACCGCCTGTTCTATCTAGCCGATACCTAGCACAATGTCATGTAATGTGTTTGATGTGTTTGATGTGCGCTCGTCAACAGCTAGCTTCCTTCAAAACTACACCATCACCACCCCCTCCCTCCTCTACCGTCTATCTCCCACTCGTCTTTGTGCATCCAGTGGTTGTATTTGTTGCCTTCGAGTACCTGCGGGCCCCAAGCGCGCACTGAAACAACAGTAGAAACGATCCGTGTTCCTGGAAATGTGGTGTATGTTAGGCAGTTAGGACACAACAACCACACGGAACAGGGAACAGGGAATTTATTCCGAGTTCCCTGCTACCTGTTCCCTGTCCAACAAAGAAAGGGACGTTCCCAGAGGAGGCAGGTTGCCAATACAAAGAAAGGGAGAGGGGGCGTCTGGTTGTATTGTGGGGGCCGTTGCAAGGAAGAGCATACATACATACATACATACATACATACATACATACATACCGGCGTAGTACCATGATTTCTCTCCCCGCCCCACGTGGTGCTCTTTACCGCCTCCGCAAACGTAGCGTGCGCAGGGCGGCGTTGGTCAGCTGCTTGTTTTTTTCCGGGGGGCTCGGCGGCGTTCTCGCGCTCTGTCCCGAGGCTCCGCCGCCGACTCGCACCGTCCCGGATGACGCACACCGCATGTGCCTCCTCCCTTCGGACAGCACCATCCAACCTGACGGGTTCTCCTCATCATCATCGTCATCAGCTTTTCCCATCATAGACGCCCACACGCATGCTTGGGAGCGCTGCTACAGGTTCAACGACACGGATCAAGACCTTTTCGGGTGCCCTCAGTCCCCTGGGGAGATGACCCGCTACATCCCGGCGGGCGTCCTGCCGTTCCCGAAGCTCGAGGAGAAGTGGCGCAGCAGCAACGTTTCCTACGGCGTTCTGGTGCAGCCATCGTTTCTGAGAGTGGACAACAGCTACCTCGTGCGACAGCTGCGCAAACACCCGTGGCTTCGGGGGGTCATCGTCGTCACGAACGCGGACGGGACGCTGGACTCCGAGGCCGTGAGCCCGCCGTTGCTCGAGGACATGCACAGGGTCGGCGTCCGCGGTGTCCGCCTGAACCTTCTCAAGAAGTCCGAGGAGGACATGACGCGCCTCAACGCCGCCATGAACGTGGAAACGGGAGATGACGGTTTCGTGAATCTGTGGGCGTTTATCAAGGAGCACGACTGGCATATCGAGGCGCAGCAGGAGAGCGACGGTTGGGTCGACCTCATCGAAACCCTCGTCGGCAAGTGAAAAAGATTTGTAAAAACAGGATTCGGTTCGTTTGTGGCTCGTAATTGAAAATATCTCGGCTGTGCCCCGACTTTGGGCAGAGACTGTACGTAAAGGGTTGGTCGGGGTGAATGAGAGTTGTACGGGGGAAGAAGAGAACGACGTGAGCACTTTGTCATCCCACACGCGTGCATGTGTATAGTATGTCAGACACTATGCCGCCACAACAACCAACCGCGTTCTGAGCAGGTCTCCCAAACTCTTGGTTTGTTGTTGCGCAGAAACCGCGTCTGTCTGTCTGTCTCCAGAAAGCGTTTCAATTTTGCGATCCTCTATTGAAGACTACCACAGTACATAGAGTTGGCCCATTTCTCAGACCCCCACATCGCGAAGGGCGCCATCTCCCTCCTCTCTTTCTACTCTCCCTCACGGTGTAGTCTGCGGTTGTTCGTTGTTGTTCTTCTTGTTGTTGTTTCTCTCACATTAGCTCTATAGTCCACAAAAATGGGGAGCCCGTGGTCGCAAAACCCGGCACATACGACGCCGCGGGGGAAACAAAACAAGAATAGAGTACAAACCACTCGGAAAAAGAAAACAAAATGATAGAGATGGTTTCGTTGTGTCATACATATTAAGAAAAATAAATAAATAAATAAAAAATGATAGAAAGAAAACAACAGCTACCACCGCACCGACCAGTCGAGAAAAGGAGCCCTAGGAAACCGATCAAAATAAAACAAAACCAAAATAAAGGCAAAAATCAAAGGGAAAAAGGAGCGCTTCCCGTCACACCCGCTGTTCGTGTGACCTTTGGTTTGCCGTGGTGGGCGGGTGTGTATGCATGTTTAAGATGATTGATTGTGGCCTGTTCGAGATAAATAAATGTTTTTGTTATGAAAAAAACAGATCAGCGCCAGTCCGTCGCGAGGGACTTGAGCAAACCACAACAAGGCCACCCCACCCACAAAAACTTTCGTCTTTTATCGGCGAATGTTGGTGGTGTACCTCCCTCACACCTATGATCATAGCCGGCCGTGCAGGCTTACATACACCCCGCCCTTTTTGCTTTCTTCAGGCACCGGCTGCAGAATTGTCGTCGACCACTTCTCGCGGCCTGACCCTGCTCTTAACCTGGAGGACCCGGGCTGGCGAGCTGTCCTACGAGCCGCCAGAGACAACGACAACATTTACATGAAGGTCACGGGGACGTACAGGCTCGGCGTCTGCCCGGAGATTCTCGCCGGGATGGCGCAAATCGCGAGGGAGAGCTTCGGCATCGAGCGTCTCCTCTGGGGCTCCGACTACCCCCACACCGGGTGCGCCGGCCCGGACATCCGCCACTGCGAGGACAGCCAGGACTACGCGGCGCTGCTGCAGACTGTTCGCGACTGGTACCCCGACGAGGAGGATCAGAAGAGAGTGCTCTACTCCAACGCCGCCAGGGTGTTCTCGTTCCCGTCGCTCAATTGTTGAAACGACCGGGTTGTTGTTGGGTTGCCGGGCGAGGGGGAGGGGCCCACAGTATTTTTGATTAGTAGTGCAGGTTGAGTATTTATTTATTGAGTATTTATTTAGTGCCGGGTGGCCTGAGTGGTGCCGATGAAGCTGGCTCGGCAGGGACCGACTCCGTAGCGATGCCACCCGCACGGACTGCCTATAGCGCCGTTTTTGACGCTACGGCCACATGGTGCGGTGTGTTTTGTGTTGGATGCTGTTTTTCAGTTTTGGTTGGAATTGTTGTTTGGGGGCGCGAACAGAATGAACGACAGGGGTGACAGGAAGGAGGGGGGATGGACGGGAACAAAGAAAGGAAAAAAATGCAAAAATTAATAATTACGTCCTGTGGGTTCTCCTTACAGGCTGAACTGGTTCAAAGTAGAGTAACCTTGGCGGTACTTCCACGTCAAAGTGCCATTTTATCAGGAGTGGTGCAAATTGAGAATTTCTACGGTATCTACCTACACGCGGTTGGCGTCCTCGTCTTCTTGACAGCCATAAGCGGCAAGCAAGCAGTCGCGCAGTTCAGCATTTACCCTTAACCCGCAGGTTTTTCAAGGAAATGCTGCTCCAGAGGTTTGGTCGCTGCCAAGACGGCTCAAGGCCGGTGTCCATGACTTCGAACATCAATGTAGCCTGCAAGCCACTACCAAGATTGAACCAGGGGATGTACCTCTGTCTCTGGCAGTTCATTTCTGCCCCACATAGCGTGCGGGTAGAAGGGAGCGGAGGGCCCCACACTATGTCTTGATTCACTTTGGCTTGCGTAGCCTTCGGGTCCACTTTATTCGAGTGTACCCTTTTTAGGTAATTTAGCCTGTGACCACGGGAATCGCTCGATCAAGTGTGTGATCAGCACGGAGAGATAACGGTACTGGGTAGAGAGATTTTCTTTGTGAAGACACCAACAAACCTTCGAAGGTCTAGGTCTCGGGTTCAATCCCAGTGGGAGTGACATTTTATTGTTGTTTGTTTTTTTGCGCGTGAGCTACGCATGCACATAATTTAGGCCCGGTAGACAATAATACAGGTTGGGTGCGGTTCGTTTTCGTTTTGGGATTTTGTTCATTTTTTTTCGATGTTGGGGACGCAATACCAACCATTTTTCGCGCCAACGTTTTTGTAACTGGCGTTGGCTTGTGGGATAGGGAGATAAATCCTCACAGGACGCTATGTACGTGGGCAGAGGTGACATTGAATGGTTGAAGGACGGGAGCAGTATGTCGGGGGCTGTGCCACCTCTCGCGTGTGCACGGTACTTGACACAGCTTTGGGTCGGCTTTGCGATGCGTCTCACCGTCGCTTCTTCTATGCTTTATAGAGACGAGCGCGTTCACTCCCGTGACCTGCGCTATCTTTGTTCACGTCTAACAGGGGCTGCGGAACTGCATCAGGACAGCCTTTCCGGGAGGTGGGGGGAGCTAAATAGTTGCGGCAGAGCTACACTACTACGTGGACGAAGGCTGCCGTTATTCGTTAAAAGCAAGATATTTGGCGTGCAATACCTTCGACGAACACTTTCGTGAATTCTTAAGAGTTTTCTCTGCAAGGAAGGGCAGAGCATATCAACCTGAAACTATTCATGCCGGCCGGGATTTCTGGTGGTGTACTCTGTGCGATGCGCTGAAGATGTAAGCGCGCCTCCTGATCTTATGCTGTTGGGAACATGCCACGCCACGTTGTGCTGCTTGCCGTGCTGCGCACCATCACAGAATGTAATATGGTATGGAACAGCTGCTATTCAGGCTTCGACGCTTTTTCGCAACTGCAGAATGCACGGTGCACAGCTTCAGCAGACCCTAGAGAACAAAAAAAAAAAAAAAAAGGTGCATATCAGCCCAAAATCGTTGCCTGTGCACACACTGCTGTTACAGCTACATACATGTGTTCCAGCGCCCTTTCTGCTCATGAGACACCTAACCCGAACCCCTCAGACAAACCAACCGCAGCCCGAAGACAAAAAACCCAAAACCCCTGTACAAAGCCCTAACGCCCAACCCTAAGGCAAGCCCTAACCTTTATGGGTGGAGAGTGCTAAGGGGGACCCGATTCCCAAGGTATCCGTCGATCGACTTTTACCAGAATCGGCACAAGACACAAAAACCCCAAAACCAACACATCACGCGTTAGCCGCCGCCGGCGGCGGCACGGACACGAGCATTGCCCCTGAAGTCGTCCACGGCCCGCCCCCCGCGGGCGGCGGCGCCTCCAGCACGGCCACGCCCATCTCCCCGAGACCTTCCAGCAGCTCTCGCAGGTTCACGGCCAGCTGCGCGACCTCGGGGCCGTTGTCCACCATCAGCTGAAAAATATCGGGGAGGGGGGGGTGTTATTGTTGTTGTTGTCTTCACACTATTACTAAATAAAAACGTTCCGATCTCTCTATCCAGTACCTCCCGTGGTGGTGTACTCACGTAACCGCACGCCGTAGTCGTTAGACCATTGACCTCGCACCCCTACAACGCCGGGCCGGAGCGATATGAAGGTGGCCACGTTGAGAAGACGCTCTAAAACGCCGTGTCGCGATGGATCACGATCTTGTCTCCCCGGTATTTTTTTTTCAACACATCCCCTTCGACTGGTGTGGTTTTATCTCGAACGGGTAGATAGCCTTTCTTTGATTGTTCCTGTATTTTCTAAAAACGATTTACGGGCCCCACGCAAACAACCATCGCAAGAAAACAAGCCACAACGATGGGAGACAAACTATAAACCAGGACTGCTGTCAAATCGAAAGTTTTCACGATCGCCTTACACCACGCGACAAAAAAATGGACGGATATTCGTGAGTAGAGAAAAAAAATGCACCCGCACTCGATTCCCCCGCCCCCGCCCCGGTCGTCTTCTTCCCACTGACCTGCACCGCGACAAGATTGACATACGCCTCCAGCAACTTCGGAACTCCCGCCGCTTGCCCTGCGGCCCCGCCTACAAGCAGGGCCGGAGCCGCCCGCAACGCTCCCAAGACTCCTGCCCACACCGCTTCGGTGAAATACTGCCCCCACAGACGGATGTGGACCTGCGCACAGTATCATTGGGTTGGGGATAACAAACAAGCGCTTTTCAGGGAGGATTGCTGTTGTTATTGTTGTTATTGTTGTTGTTGTTGTTGTGGTTGGTATCTCTCTTCTGATGTTGCCTGTCGTTTGTTGAGGTGTCCCTTGTCACTCATTTCCCCGTGCACGTTAATGGAGTTCTCACAGCTGTACCCTGCTCAGCCTACACTTTGTCCGGCGCAAAGACGAACACACCGATTTCTTACCAGCAACATGGATTTCTGTCTATCTCTATCTCTGTCTCTGTCTCTCTTTGTCTCTGTTTCCCACTCTCTCTTTGTCTCTCTCTCTCCCTCTCTCTCCCTCTCTCTCGTTTGTCAACTACCTCGCTCACCAGCACAGCAGCCCCCTTCCCCCCGACGGCGCGCCCGTCGGTGTCCACAATCGTGCTCCCCAGCAGCGCGGGCGCCGGACAAAGCCGGCCGGGGGCGATCCTCCTCGACCGAAACAGCGGCGCAGCCGCAGCCGCAGCAGCAGTAGCAGCAGCACCACCACCACCACCGTCGTTAGCACCGCCACCACCGACGTTGCTCGCTGTCCCCCCTGCCCCCCCCCCGATCCCCGCCTCTTCGGCCTGAAAGGAGGACCACTCTGCCGCGGCCGCGGATCGTTCGACCTCGGCATCGTTGAGAAGGAGCTCGGTCAGGGCGAGCACCTGCGCAAGACGGTATAAGTGGAGGCGTTTCAGTTTGAGTGAAAAACGCCGAAAGGAGCGGTGGTGTGTGGGGGGGTGTACTCCTAGTCGTGCATGCCGTAGTCGTTAGACCATTGACCTCGCATCCCTACAAAGCCGGGACGGAGCACGCCGGGTTCTCACCAGGCCAAGCTCTGAAGGAGCGGTGGGGTGGGGGGGGAGGGGGGTACACATAGTCGTGCATGCCGTAGTCGTTAGATCATTGACCTCGCATCCCTACAAAGCCGGGACGGAGCACGCCGGGTTCTCACCGGACCAGGCGAGCACATCACCAAGCACGAAGCGCCGTGAGGTATTCGGCGAGTCGCATGAAGGGTGCGCTTCATCCTGCCAAGGGTGTTCGGCATCTTGTGCTTACTTCCTTGCGTACGGATGACAGCCGCGTGTGACTTAATTTTATCTTCTGGTGCTTTCACTTCCAGAGACAGGTATAAACACTCTGTGTAACTGCCTCGAGGAAGCTTGACCATTTTAACACAACGTGGTGCGATAATCTCCCCCGCGCGGAGTGAGGGTTCTCGCGCACAGCATGATCTACTCGACCACCATTATGGTTACCGCCAAAAAAATCAGAGGTAAAAAAAAAAACGGTAACCTGGTTGCCGAGTTCACGAAGTGAATTGGCTTGTTGTACAACGTCGTTGCCAAGCGACGAAAACCCAATCCCGATGGCAAACATCGAGGGGGGGGCTTGTTTTACAACGTCGTTGCCAAGCGACGAAAACCCAATCCCGATGGCAAACACCGAGGGTGGGGCTTGTTTTACAACGTCGTTGCCAAGCGACGAAAACCCAACCCCGATGGCAAACACCGGGGGGGGGAGGATCATCGCTGGATCTATATGGGCGGCGGACAAAATGACAAAGATTGCCTTCGTGCAGGCCTTTCACCGTCAACAGGCGGGCTTGCTGGACGAATGGCTTACTGGATTGTGGGCATGCCTACAATGATATTATAGTAGGGACCCAACCCGTATACCATCATTGTAATAGTCCAGTATCCTCGAAATATCCCCCTCTCCGCCCCTCTCTAGAAAACGAACCAAAACAAAAGACAAAACGATGCCGCCTGCATCAACTAACTCGATTCAGTCACGCGGAGGACAGACCGGCCCACGGACTGAAGGGGGGAGGGCAGCCAAACACAACGACGTTCGCTTTCCTTCAGCACACTTACAACCAACAACCAACAACCACGCTGTTACTAGCAGCAGCTAGCCAGCGAGCGAGCGAACGAGCGCACCTGCTCCAAGAACACGAGCGGCATGCGCCGCGCAACGTCCGCGAGCACCGCCGCGTGCCCCCCCGCGCTGGCCGCCGCCCTCTTCCGCCCGGCGCCCTTCTCGCCGACGATAAGCCCCGACCCCGCCAGGGCGTTGGCCGCCGCCACCAGCCGCAAGCCCGCGCCTCGAGAGCCGGCCTCCGACGGGATGGGTGCCCCGCGGATGACAAACTGCTCCGCGAGCATCGGCAGCATGCGTCTGTTCGTTGGAGGAGATCAGGGGAGGGGGGGTCCGTCGCGACAGAGACAAGGAAGTATGTCAGCGGAACATTGCTCGTATCGACAGACAAAAAGCCCGATCCTCGTCTCTGAACTCGAAATATTTTTCCAATCAGACGCAGAAAAAAGGGGGGGGGAGGGGGGGGCTCCGTGGGGACAGGGACCGAAAGGGCCGTACCATTCTCGTGGCCTCGAAGAGGAGCGCCCCCCGATCAACCCCGATAACAACTTCGGAGTCTGTTCATTACAGGCGTAGACGGTTATTTCGCGCGTTCCATGACAGCGAAATAAAAAAACGAAAACACGGGCGCCCCCAGGACCCGACCGATAGACACAACACCTGCCTCCCCAAAGGCACACGCGCGCGGTACGGCTTCAGGTTTGGGGTTGTTCATGGCATCACCTCTCCATTTCCGGACCGACGGTTTCGGCGAACTCTGACGGCGCGGCCATGCACAGCTGGTACAGCAGGTACTCGGCGGCCGCCCGGGCAACGCGCCGCCGTTCACGCGCGACATCCCTCCCCTGGTCGACCACCGCGGTGCCCCCCTCCATTTCCTCGGTCTTGACGGTCGCGGCAGCACAAGCCTCGGCGGTGGCGCTAGAGGCGGTCGATTCTTCTTTCGCCTTCGCCTTCTTCTTATCCTTCTCTGTGTCCTTGGCAGTTTTGTCGACAGTACTATCATCATCCTCGTCGTCATCGTCGTCTTCGGCGCCATCATCGTCGTCCTTCTCGTCGTCGTCGTCGTCGTCTGCGTTATCTTCGTCGTCGGTTTCGGGGGCACCGTCGTTTCCTCCTTCTTCTTCTTCCTCCTCCTCCTCCACCTCCACCTCCTCTACCTCCTCCCTTTCGTACACTCCTCACTCT